TAACAATTTCCAGAGCTAAGATGCATCTCTTTCAAAATTGGCTGTAAATTTTTAGGTTTACAGTTGAATGAATACAGTTATACAATATTGCACTCCGTATAAATGCTGTAAGACATACAATTAAATGAGGTTTTAAACTTTGAAAAAGATCTCCATTTCATTATTAAAATACACAGTTTCATACAGAAAAATTTATTTTTCATACAACTGACACTAAGATGTATATGCATTTCTAATCTCTATATATCTGATTATTACTAGTCAGTTATTATTACTATTACAGTCGGTTACTTTCTGAGCTCCTTAGCATCTGAGCATGGATATAAAGTCATCAGGTAGATTTCAATGGTAATGTTTTTCAAATCTACCAGTTATTAAGGAACAAAATTTTTATGCTTTGAAGAAGTATTATTTTTTCTTTTTTATTTTTTTAGTTTATTTATACACCCACTTCCCAGGTAGCACCCTCCCATAGCCACCCCCCCCCCGACTAGAGCCCTTATACTCTGATATCCCTGCTACTGTCTGCTGTGTTGTTGGCACCCCCAGCCATTCCCCACTACTTGTCCTTCTGGTGAATCTAGTCAGCCTATCTAGAGGTCTTTGTTTTAGGAGGGTCAGCTGTTCCTCATCTAGCAGCAATCAGTTGTCAATATTCCTTTGGATAAGATTGGGGTCTGTTGTTCAATTTCCCAGTTCTATGCTGGGTTACTGTCTGGGAATCCCTTTAGCCACCCTGGCCAACAACTCAGAAGGAGGTATTACCTGTGTGGCATTGTTGCATGCTATGTAGCCTTTAGCTATACATATGGTCTCTTATGAAATTATATTGGCCCCTTTAATCTTTGGTTATACTTTCCTTTTGGGTGTTTAAGGCCACACAGTTGGTCCAGATAAACCGATTTATTTTTACTCTCAAGGTCATTTAAGGATCTGTGTCTCAGGGCTCACATGGGCTTAGGAGGAGCCCCTGGCTCCTTTCTTTAACCAGTTCCACCTATGTGAGGATAAGCCAAAGTCCTGCTCAACCATGGTTGGCTTTGCTTGGAAGTATGGGGGAAATGATTCCTCTGTGTTGACCCTCCTCTTTATAGACTGGACACTGGTTCAAGTCCATCTGGTGGGGTCTCCTCGGCCTCTTTGATTAAGAGGACAGGTGACCTACCACAGTTACAGGACATTTTGCGAGATGCTCATAGTCCCCTGGAGCTTAGTCGACCTAGGAGGGTAAGGAGCAAAAACTGTCCTTTATGTCACTCTGACCAAATTTTTGTAGGCCTCAAAGTATGGCTGTTAGACAACCAAGAAGGTTAGTTCTACCAGTCTGGTACTTTTAATTACCATGTGCTATATAGCTAAAGCTTGGGCAAAGACCAGATGCTCTAAGATAAACCTTGCCTAGTCATGAACTATATTCCTTGAGCTAGTTGCATATATAATTTCTCAGTAGGTTGTTTGATTAATATGATTCCCTCTGGGTTTTTAAAACTAGCTAGGCATTATTTATCTCTCATATTGTCTAACCCTTCCACTGTGGTTTCCCCATTTTTTCCATTTCTCCTCTAATAATACCCTTCTCCTATGGTCTCACCTCTCTTGAGCTCCTTCTTTCCCTTTATCCCCAAGGTTCCTTGTATAAACTTCCCTCCCCCCCCTCGCCTTAACCTACTATTCTTCTCCTTCAGGTTATTTCTTTTCCTTTACCTCACTGTTTCCTTACCCTTGTCCTGGTTTCTGTAGTTATGTCTGGTTGCATACTTATTTATCAGAGTCTGAGAGTCTGGTTCTGGGATCCACATATGAAGGAGAACAGATGTCGTTTTTTGTTTTTTGTTTTTTCTGAGTCTGTGTTACTTCACTTAGTATAACAGTTTCTAGTTCCATCCATTTACCTGCAAATTTCATGATTTCATCTTTCTTTACTGCTGAGTAAAACTCCATCGTATAAATAAACCATATTTTCATTATCCACTTGTCAATTGAGGGACAATTAGGTTGCTTCCATCTCTTAGCTATTGTGAAAAGAGCAGCAACAAACATGAATGTACAAGTGTCTCTGCGATAGGATGAGTTCTTTGGGTATATGCCAAGGAGTGGTATAACTGGGTCAAATGGTAGGTTCATTTGTCGTTTTTTAACAGTTCTCCACACTGCTTTCCATAGGGGCTGAACAAGTTTGGACCCCCACCAGCAGTGGATGAGTGTTCCCCTTTCCCCACATCCTCTCCAACATTTGGTATCATTTGTTTTCTTGATCTTAGCCAGTCTGAGTGGGGTAAGGTGGAATCTTAAAGTGGTTTTAATTTGCATTTCCCTAATTATTAGTGATGTTGAGCATCTTTTAAGATGCTTCATAGCCATCTTTACTCCTTCTTTTGAGAACTCTCTGTTCAGCTCTAGGCCATCTTTTAATTGGGTTGCTTCTTGTCTTGATTCTCTGTTTTTTGTGTTCATTATAAATTCTGGATATTAAACCTCTGTCAGATGTGTCACTGATGAAGATTTTCTCCCATTCTGTGGATTTTCTGTTCATTTCCCTGGTTGCCTCCTTTGATGTACAGAAGTTTTTTAGTTTAATGAGGTCCCATTTGTTAATTCTTGCCCTTGTTTCCTGGGCAGTTGATGTCTGGTTTAGAAAATCCTTTCCTATACCCATATCTTGTAGGTTATTGCCAATGCTTTCTTTTAACAGTTTCAGAGCTTTGGGCTTCACATTGAGGCACAAAGCACGATTTTGACTGGCATTGCACTGAATCTATATATGTCTCTTGGTAGGATGGTCATTTTCACAATATTAATTCTTTCAATCCATGAGCATGGGAGATCCTGCCATCTTTTGATGTCTTCCTCAATTTCTTTTTTAAAAGACTTAAAATTTTCATTGTAGAGCTCTTTAACGTCTTTGGTTGGGTTTACTCTGAAGTACTTTATTTTATTTGCAGCTATTGTGGGGGAGGGGGAGGAATGTTCCCAGGGCCCTCGGATGGGAGTGGGGGCCTCAGCATGGGGGGCATGGGAGCAGGGTGTACCCCAGGATTTGAGGGGTGAACCACCGGAGGCTGAGGGTGGACCCCAGGAGCAGCAGGATGAACCCCAGGAGGAGGCTGGGGGTGCACACCTGGTGCCTGGGGGTGCACACCTGGTGCCTGGGGGTGGATCCCAGGGGCCTGGGGGTGTACTGCAGGAGCAGGTGGGTGCACTCCTGGAGCCTGGGGGTGCACTCCAGCTGATGGGGGAGGGTGGACCCCTGGAGCTGGTGGGTGCACAACGGGGGCTGGTGGGTGCACCCCAGGGGCTGGTGGATGAACCCCTGGAGCAGGGGGGTGCACCCCAGATGTTGGTGGATGGACCACTGGAGCTGGAGGGTGGACCCCTGGAGCTGCAGGATGGACTCCAGATGTGGGAGGATGGACCACTGGGGCTGGGGGGTGGACCCCGGGAGCTGGGGGTGGACCCCGGGAGCTGGGGGATGAACCCCAGGAGCTGGGGGGTGGACCCCAGGAGCTGGGGGATGGACCCCAGGAGCTGGTGGGGGCATCTGGGGAGGTCCAGGGGGTCCAGAGGGAGCAGGTCCAGTGGGGGGCATGGGGGGCAGGGGCAGGCCACCAGGTGGGGGTGGGGGCAAGGCATCTGGCAGCGGTGGCCGAGGGGGCAGGCCGTTCATGAGTGGGGGTGGGGGCCGCTTGACACCTGGGGGTCCAGCAGGGAGGCTGGGCGGGGCTGGGGGCTTCTCCATCTTAAAGTGGAACTGGAGGAAAAACTGCTTGGTCTCCCCAGTTCTGGACTCAGTGGATGATTTTTTAATGTGTGCTGCATGCAGTTTGCAAGTATCTTGTTGAGAAATTTTGCATCTATGTTCATTAAGGTCTATACTTTTCTTTTTTGGCTGTATCTTTACTTGGCTTTGGTATTAGAGTGATGCTGGCTTCATAGAAGGAATTTGGAAGTTCTCCCTCCATTTCTATTTTTTTGAATAAATTAA